ACCCCACCATTTAAAACTTTCTTTGCCAAAAAAAAACCCCCCCCGGGTGGGTTTTTTTTTTGGGGGGGGGGGGGCTTAGTACAAAATGATTTTTTGTATGTGCTCACAAGAAAGAACTACTGCAGCCACATCAAGGTTAAAAACATCTCATGAGAAATATCTTTCGCTTTCTGATAAAAAAGTCTACGGGAGCAAGGGAAAACTAGTAAGGTAATGAGATAGCTAACAGTTTTCCCACAGTACCTCTTTCTAAGCACAAAGCCTCATAAGAGTAATAAACGGTTCATTTTCTAGCTGACTTAGCAACGTCAGGTATTTTGTCTTCTATCTTGTTCTATACAAGCTGTTGCTAAACTAGAGTGCTAAACTCTCTGTTTCTCTGTGAGATCAGTATATTTTTATAGTCATTTAAAAGTTAAGTGTGTAAAAACTGATATTTGTATGTTTTGACTAACTATTTCATGTTTATGTTGCGGACAAACTTCAAATTTGATCAAATTTGACTAACTTCATTTTTCAGAGCAGACACTTCTGTATCGTTTCATATGTAATAGAACATTTTAAAACACTAGGATGATGTACTTTTAGATCAAATATTGGAAATAGGCATAGGCATAGGCATGATCATTTTCTTACTTTTCTAAAGTTTGATACAAATCTCAAAGATCCGGTCATATAAAATGTTTTTAAGCCATTACAGATGTAGAGCAAACATTATTCTATAAAATGAGACGTCGGCGAGCTCTCTGCGATGGCTTTTTATGATTTTACATGCGTTTTACGACAAGAAGTGTATTTGAGACCCGTCTCCTACTGGTTTTTTACCTCACTTTTGATCCATTGACCAAATTTAATAATTTATATATGCTTGAATAGAACATTGAAAGTTACATCTACTGGCATGCTTTTCATTAGTTCATATTAGTACAGTAAACAAAATTTTAATTTTGTAAAAATGGCTGGAAAAGCGTATTATGTAAGAAAAAAGCATTTTTCTCCTACTTTTCACAAATCAATCATTTTACTTTACTTAAAAACTGCACATGACTTAATGCTTAGCTACTTATGTCAAAACTTGATAAAAATTATTTTCTATTAACCGTCCAAAAGTCTTATATAAATCCACTCCCGGTACCTTTCACCAGCTTGTCTAACTTTTCTTTAACAAGATCTATCTTAAACGGTTAGGAAAAATGTTTTTTTATCAAGTTTTGATAATAAAATTCAAGAAAACTCGACCAAAAGGACCCATAGGATCGCAGCGAGAGATTTCTAATGTCGAATATCATGTTTTCCCTACATTTGACTGCAAATCGTAACAAAAATCGAGAGAAAATCCAGAGTTCTCTGGAAACCCTCTGGAGATTGGACCCTCTGAAGATCCTCCTATTGCACCATTAGATTCTCCGTGTTGGATTACGATAAAAAAATGAG